GGGCTAGGAATGGGGAAAAAATAAGAACCAAGATGCATTATGTAAAGGTACAATTCCCAATGAGAAATGTAATTGTGTTGTATACCTACAACGTACCAATAAAACAATTTAATAAAAAAAATTAAAAAAACACACAGGATCACATCTCATTGCAGATTTCTCTGCTCTTAAGGAGCAAGATATCCTTAATGATGAAATAGTTGTCCTGACAGGACCTTATGGAGAAAGAAGATACTATTAAGCAGAGAACAAGTGAGGTTCTGGGTCTTCAAGATGTTCAAAGGCAGAATGTTAATCTGCAAAAATTAGAGACCCAGAAGCAGCAAGTACAGGAGTTCCTCAGTGAACTGAATGAGCAGAAAGCACAGCTAGAGGAGCAATTCAGAGAAGTCAGAAAGAAACATGCTGAGAGGCCCAGTTGATCTCATCTTTGAAAGCTGAAATAACTAGTCAAGAATCATAGATCTCTACTTTTGAGGAAGAATTGGGCCGGCTACAGCAAGAAACAACAGAATTGGAGGAGAGTGTGGAATCAGCAAAGGCTCAGCTAGAACCTCTTCAATAGCACCTGCAAGATTCACAGCAGGAAATCAGCTCAACGCAAATGAGACTGATGGAAACAAAAGATCTGGGAAATCATAATAATCAATCAAATTGGTGCAGCAGCCCACACAGTGTTCTTGTAAATGGCACTACACATTATTGCAGCCTCAGCATCAGTAACAGCCAACCTTAACAAACCTGCTGGAGGCCAGAGCAACCTGGAGTCTGAGGTGTACACCAGGAATCTCCAGCAAATAATCCTGAAATACCACCTTCTCATGTGACTGATGAAAATGAAGTGGTGACTGCAGCTGTTAATGACATGCAGCTGCATGTCTGTCGCTGAAGTTGACAGCGACAGACATGCAAAAGAGGAAGATCCATTTAATGTGAAATCAAGTTCACTGGCAGGTCCAATTGCAGAGACACACTTGGATTTTTTCCAGTCTGATCCTTTTGTTGGCAGTGATCCTTTCAAGGATGATCTTTTTGGGAAAATTGACCCATTTGGTGGCGATGCTTTCCAAGGTTCAGATCCCTTTGCATCTATTTCTTCAAGCAATCTTCTACTGACCCTTCTGCCACTTCAGGTACTGACCCTTTCAGTGCACCCAGCAATAGCAATGATGCATTGGCAGAAACACTGAAGCACAATGAACCTTTTGCTCTGGTGGAACTGTTGTTATTGCAGCAAGCAATTCACCAACAGACCTCTTTGCTTCTGTTTTCAGAAAGGAGTCATTTGGAGATGGATTTGCTCACTTCATCACATTGTCAAAGATCAATAATGAAGATCCATTTAGATCAGCCACATTGAGCTCTGTCAGCAGTTGCGGTCATTCTGAAAAATGTGTTTGAGGAAACACTGATCGAGAGTGAAGATGTACTGCCAGCACTGCCACCAAAGACTGGAACTCCAACAATACCTCCCTCACCACCACACGGGAAAAGACCCATCAACCAATTGCATTCTTCTGGTCCCTTTAAAGTGAGTGATCCATTTCAGCCTTCCCCAGGCAGTGATAACCCCAAAGAAATAGATCCTGATATGTTTTGTGATCCATTCACTTACTCTACTTCGACTACTGCCAGTAAAGAGGCTGACCCAAGCAATTTTGCTTATCCATCTGAAGAAGATATGATTGAATGGGCCAAAAGGGACAGTGAGAGAGAGGAAGAGCAGAGGTTTCCCAACTGAACCAGCAAGAACAAGAAGACTTAGAACTGGCTGTTGCACTTACCAAATATGAGATTTCAGAAGCATGAAGAATTCTCTTCCCCTTTGTCAACAATACAATACTCTTCTTCCTGAATATTGAAGCTATTTACTATGTGTATCAAAACTACCTATGAGTAGAGGAATATAAATGGTTTAATTTTTTTGCAGTCTCTCTGCAGTGATGTTTATCTCTGTAACTGTCCACTAAATTTCAGCCTGCAAGAACTGTACAGCAACTCTACACAAGGCTTCTGATGAAATTTATCATTCACTCCCTGAGCGTTGTTTATCTTCCCCTGTTGATTATTGTTATTTATCATTTTTACTTTTAATTTTTTAACAGACTCACTGTTTTTTATTATAAAAGAAGCAATACATACTCACAAGAATAAGAAAATTCCAAAAACTGTATCACAGAGATGAGTACAGCAAATGTTTGATGAATACATCTCCAGACAGCTCAATATAAATATCTATAACCTATTTGATACTTTTAAAAAGAGAGGTCATTTTATACATACTACCCTGAAATCAACTTTTCCAGTTTCTGATAGGCTGTGGGTCATTTTCCAGTGTCATTATAAATCTGCATGCCATATAAGAATTATTATGGAGGAGTAGTGGGGATATGGATATAGGCAAAATAATACATTGAAATCCCCCCAAAAATGTGAAACCAGGGTAATAGGGCAGAGCAAAGGAGGGGTAGCAAGGGGTTAAAATGGTCAAAATTCATTCACAATAACTAAAATATATCTATGGATTAATCTAACTAAGGAGGTGAAAGACTTCTACCAAGAAAATTTCAGAACACTAAAGAAAGAAACGCAAGATGCTAGAAGATGGAAAGACCTCCCATGTTCATGAACTGGCAGAATTAATATTGTCAAAATGGCTGTATTACCAAAAATGATCTACAGATTCAGTGCAAGCTCCATCAAAATACAAATCTTCACAGAACTAGAAAAACAATCCTAAAATTGATATAGAAACACAAAAATCTAGGATAGCTAAAGCGATTCTAAGCCAAAAAAAAAAAAGACTGGAGACATCACAATACATGATTTCAAATTATTCTCCAAAGACATAATAACAAAAACAGCCTATTACTAGCCCAAAAATAGACATATAAACCAACAGAACAAAACAGAGGACAGAGAAACAAACTCATGCAACTATAAGTTTCTAATACTGGACAAAGAAGCTCAACTTTTAATGGAGGCTTAAGAAAGGGCTCTGTCGGCATCATTTCAGATCACTCTGAGACCGTGGACATCTGATGATCACTGACAGTTTACATTTCACCTCATTGAGGAGCCCAGACAGGGATGAGATATTTGGAGATTTTCTGCTGATTACCTGGATGAGCTGTCGGGAGCTAGTTTTTTCTGAGGGACCTTTGGGTATCTGCCAGAGTGTAGCCCTGGCCACAACCCCTCAGTTGTCACCTCAGTTTCCGTTAGTTCTATGCAATCAGAGATCTGTCTCTGAAAGGAACCCAATTACCTATCTGGTCAATGTTCTACCCGTCATTGGCTTCAGTGGGAGTGGGGATTCACCAGAGGGCAACTGGAGAAGCCTGTCCTCTGCTTTGAGAGTGGCAACTGCCCTAAGGGCAATTACTAGCTGGCAGAGTAACCTCTGTTGGTTTAGCATTCTGTAAGGGACAGATAAAAGCCTGAACTGCCTTTTCCTAACATGATTTCATAATAAGAGACTGATTTTACAGCATTTTAAAGCAACTAAGTCCAAATGTAAAATATACAAAACAAGAATAAAATGTAATTTTATTTATTTATTTATTTATTTCAGTACCAGGGATTGAACTCAGGACCTTGTGCTTCTGAGGCAGGCACAGTAACACTGAGCTAAATCCCGGCCCCTAAAATGTAATTTTAACAAAAGACAATGCATCATAAGAGAAACAAGCCTTTTGTAAAAATTGAAAACATACAACTTAAAATTAAGACAATTTTGAAGCAAAAGCCAAAACAAAGGCCAGAAATTATGAAACAAAAACCAGAATCATAAACAAATGGCCAGAGCCTATGAGGCAAAAAGAATCTATAAAACAAGAACCAGAACTTATGAAACAAAAAGTTACAATCTATGAAGCAAAAAGACCAAAGTTAGAACCTATGAAACAAAAGCAAACTCTTACCTCCATCCAGGAATGGGGGAAGACTTCCAAAATGATATAGGGGGAAGATGTAACTCCCAAACGTGCTAGATATCCGAAGCATGAGTTCATGGTCTTTAAAAATTGAAGAACGAATTCTAGGAGAGGAAGCTTCTAAGAGAGACCGAAGGGGGACTGGAAAATGGGGTGCCCCTGATTATTGCTATCTTTTTGGTGCTGGGGAATGAACACAGGACCTTTCATACCCACATTTTATTAATTTTTAAAATTGTGTGTGGAGTTGTGATTGATGAATTGTATTTCAGGATAATAAAGGGAGCATGAAATATTCATTGTCAAAGTAGTGTGTCTTAGTTTAGGTTGCTGAACATAGACTGAGCTTAAACAACAAACATTCACTTCTCACAGTTGCTAGAGGCTAGAAGTGTGACAGCAGGATGCCAGTGAGGTCATGTTGGAATCAACCCTAGGCCTGCCACCGAGTTATATCTGCACACCCGCGTGTGCTCATTCTCCAGGGCTTCAGAGACCCTTGCAATGCACGGATCTCTTCTCAGGCACAGGAGGGGCAGGTGTGCTCTCAGTTCACTCTACTGTGTTCCCTGCCTGTACTTTGACGCGGGCCACTGCTTTGGACTTTCTGCTTGCTTCCTTTTAATTCGTCTTATGCAAAAAAGCTTTGGGATGAATTAAGACTTCCCTATCTTTGATACCAGAGGGGAAAAGGATACAGATGGACAGCGAACCTGCAAGACTTTTCCTAGAACTGGTTTGAAGAGATGTAAAAGGAGGAAGGGGCGAAAATGAGCTAATGAGGAAGGGAATACAGCAGAGGGAAAAACCTTAAGGTAGGGAAAAGAGGACCATGAAAGAAAACAAGAAAAGAAAAACTTTAAATCCAGGCCTCAGAAGAACCGCAGACGTCGCCCATTCATCCTCTCCAGGCTTCCGGCTCCCAGAGGGCAGCCCGCCTAGCTCTGTCCCCGCTCCGCCCCGCCCCGCCCCGCTCCGCCCCGCTCCCTGCCCCGCTCCCTGCCCCGCTCCCCGCTTCCACCCATCCCAGTGGCCTCAAACGCGGGCCGAATTCTGCTTCTGTTTTCCCAGGACCTAGGCGACCCCAGCAGGTTCTAAGCTTCTCTCGAAGGTGGGTCCAGCGAGCTCAGGTAGACCTTGCCCTGGCCAGGCCCGGGGCCTGGGCTCGGAGCCCAGGCGGGGTGCGAGGAGCTTCGGGCCCAGGAGCGAGGGCAGCGCCCTGGGTGCAGGGAGCCTCTTGGGGTGCGCCCGCCCCGCCCGCTGGTGTGAGGAGAGGTGACTGGGATGGGAAGGGTGAGGGGAAGGGCGAGGGCCTGGGACCTCGAAGAGGGGGAGAAAGTGAGACCCAGGAAAAGGCGCCCCTCTCACTGCCTGTCCCGCATGCGCACTGGAGGAAGGTGCTTCCTGCGCACTTTGTACCGCTGGGCTCAGGCGTGTCGTCGTCTTCGCAGTCCTTGTCGTCGTCGTCCCTCCCGCCCGGAAAAACTGCTGGCAGCTGCCAGCAGCAGGTGGGGTGAGCACACCAAGGTCTACAGGGCCCTCAGTCTACAGGAGTGTCTAGGATATGGTGCTGCGTGTGTAACTTATGAGAAAAAGAGGCAGGGGAGGTGGAGGTATGGACATGAATTCGTCTGTACACGGAAAGTGTCTGAAACTTAGTGTGGAAAGTCAGCAGTGGCTGCCCCTGGGGAAGGGACTAGAAGTGGGGGCTTTTCAGTTGTGATTCCAGGAGTCTCCCTTCACCAACTCCAGGCTGAAAGAGAGACCTTACAGTTCTCTTAACTTTGGTTTTGAGGCTCTCCCCTCTGCAACCTTGGATGACAGTAATTCTTCTCCTGGGGGGTCATGTACTGCAGAGTCAGTAGGAAGATTGAACCTGGAGGGTTCTATCACTGAGCTATTTTGTATTTGGAGGCAGAGTCTTGCTAAGTTGTCCAGGCCGCCCCCCACCGCCCTCCCACTTGTGACCCTTGTGCCTCAGCTCCTAGAGTAGGTGGCAGAAGCCATCACTTTTTTGAGGCAGCAGCTATCACTTTTTTGAGGCAGCATCTAACTTAAGTCACTAAATTGGCCAGGCTGGGCTGAAATTTGCAGACCTCCTGCCTCAGCCTCCTGGAATGCTGAGATTACATCAGCTGTGCTCCACCATGTCTGTCAGGCACCATTCTTGACGTGTCTGTCTACACTGGTGTCCTGTGAGATGCTGTTGTCCTTTCTGCTCCTGAATTGTTAAGTTCATTCAAGTTGTCTTCAAAATCTTCTACATTCTTGTGCATAAGATTATTCGTACTAAGATTTCAGAGGTTTGCTCACCAATATTATTCCTGAAATATTTAAATGGGATTGGGAGATAAATTTATATACAAATAAATAAGTTAATATATTCCTAATGGTATATTTCCATCATCCCCTCAGGGAGAGGTTCTTAATTTACAGCCGATAGAAACCTTGGAAGATCCAACAATGGGCCTCCTTGGACATCCTGAGAATTAAGTGCTAAACAGTATAGAGGCCTGGTCCCCCCTGCCCCATGAAAAAGCTTGCTTTTAGCAGATTTTCAAAATCCTCTAAATTGTACTGATTAGAATTGCAGAAACAGTGGTGAACAAAGCCAAAAGCATTGAGCACCAGCAACTCCCCATCTAGTTGGGATAAAAGATAAGCAGGTGATGTGTTCTTCAATGGAGGAAGTACAGGCATGGGGAGAACCTGGTGAGGCCACCTATGCCAGAGTGGCTGGGGTGTCTGGGAGGTTCCTGGGAAGGAAGTGAGGGAGAGGAAGGTGCAGACTTTGGCCTGGTATAGGAGAGGCTGGGGGAGCTGTGCTGGGGTAGGGAAGGAGCGTTTCAGGTCTCTGCCTGTGCAGAGATCCAGAGTCAAGAGATACCTCTGCAGTTCTATGATTGAGGCTTTAAAGTACTTTGAGGTGGATTGGGGTTTGTATCAATAAGAGATCAGCAGCTAGGTTATGTATGTGAGCGATGCTGGGAGTACAGCAGGGAACTGAGAAAAAGTCTCTTTTCCAGGAGATTTATTTCAATTAGAGGAAACCATGACTAAGCTCACAAATCAGCAAATAAAATGTTTTTTAACTTTTGATAAAGATAAGAAACCCAGTTTATTATCAGATTTATACATGGTGGCTGGGTGTTTCTGGGAGCTCTTCAGGCAGATCTACATACAGTGTGTCACCCATCACATGGAACAGAGGTTTCAACAAGGGTGGCGGTAAGAGGCATGGAGAAAATTGGAGAACATCTGAGAGGTTGAGGGAGTAGAATCAATAATATTTTATAGTTTCCTGGATAATAACAAATAAAAACCTCTATTTATTGAATATTTTCTACATGTAAGATGCTTCCCCAAGAGCTTTGTATATTTTTCTCATTTATTCTTGTTGCTGTTTGTTTGGGTTTTTTGGGGGAGGGGGGTTGAGGTTTTTTTTGTGTGTGTGTGTGGTACTGGGGATTGAACTAGGGACCTTTCTCATTTATTCTTATAACAACTCTGTGAGACAGGCACTTTTCTTAATTTTGTAGAGAAAAAACAGAGACCCAGAGAATTTACGTAACTTGCCCAAGACCCAGGATGTAGGAGCCAGGAGTCAAACTTAGGTGTGTCTCACTCCAAACCCTTCTGAACAGAAGTGACAAAAAGGGAGAATGGATTTGAGGCAGAAGTAGGAGTGAGGGGAAGATGATACCTTTTAGATTTGTAGGATGTGGGGTGCCTTTCAGCCATTCAAGTAGAGATGTCTGAAAGTCAGATGGATAAATGAGCACCATATGAAGTTCAGACGAAAAATCTAGGTGAAGGAATAAATTTGAGTTGCCACTATGGAAAGGTTCTATGGAGTCACAGCATAGGTGAGACCATCCCAGGAAAGAATGTAGATGTGGAGGGGCTGAAGGGCGCACAGGTAATGAGAAAAAAAATAAGAATCAAGATACATCATGCACGGGTACAAACACCCCTTGATAAATGTAAACGTATTGTATACCTAAAATGTACCAATAAAAGAACTTAAGAATAAAAAAAAAGAAAGCATGTAGATGGATTAGGATGGAACTGTAAGGCACAGTAATGTTAGAGAATGATAAGTAAGAATCCCCAAGATGATGTATCTATAATTACAAGAAGAAAACTGGACAGTAGCAGGAAGAGAGTTTTGATGAGAAATTGTGGCATATTCTACTCAGGCAATTAAGTTAGACGGGCCAACTGTCTGTCCATTCATATTATAACAACAAGCCCATTCATTATCTAAGAGGGCAGTCTTGTTGGATACTATGCCATTTAGTTGGTTGAAGAGCAAATAGAAGCCAGGCATGGTCATACAAAACTGTAATCCCAGCACTCTGGGAGACTGAGGCAGGGGGATTGTAAATTCAAGTCCAGCCTGGGCTTAGTGATTTAACAAAACCTTAAAACACACACACACACACACACACACACACACACACACACACACACACACAAAAGAAACAAAACCAAGGGGCTAGGGATATTGCTCTGTGTGAAGGCCCTGGTTCATTCGGCACTAGTAGAAAAAAAATATATAGAAGACAAGGAAGTTAGAGTGGTGAAGATTTACAACTTGATAAAAATGTTGTTTCTCTGGAGTTAAGAATCCAGAATCCAGATTATCCGTGATTTCCTTCTACTAAGTTAGGATCACACTGATAGTCTGGGGGTGGGGTCTCCTTTTCCCCGTCATGAGAAGACATATTCTTTCCTTCTGCAGTAGTTACTTTTTAAAAAACTACTTCTCTTAAGCTTTTCTCTTGCCCCTTTTCACCCCTCTTCCTTATAATACTCCCTGGAAGAACCCAACCCTGGAAAACAATTACGGATTGTTTTCTGAGTGCAGGTCACTGGCATACCCAGGAGGGACAAGGGGAAAGATTCACTCCTAAAGCGCAGATGTTCCCTTGCAGGCCAGTGCTCATCTCCTTTCTTTCTTTCCTTCTAGGCGCATTCTAGTTGGGCTGCAGCCATGGAGAAACACCATGGGCCTGTGTCTGTCCACCCAGACATCCTGTCCTTGGAGAACCGGTGCCTCGCCATGCTTCCTAACTTGCAGCCCATGGAGAGACCTCGTGGATATATGCCAGCTCACTCAGACATCCTCTGCTTGGAGAACCGGTGTCTGGCCAGAATTTCTGACTTGAAGTCCACGGGAAAACTACATGGGCATGGGGCTGCCCACCCTAGCATCCTGTCTGTGGAAAATGGGTGCCTTAGTTCCATCCCCAGTGTAAAGAGCAGCATGTCTGCCAGTCCCTTGCTCCAGTGTCTCCAGCCTCCTTGCATGATGCATGCTAATGTGAGCAGCCTGAACACCAGCAAATGCCTGCTCTCTGAGCCTCCAAGCAGCAGGAGGGCTCAGTGTGTGTCTGCAACAGAGACAGTTCAGGTAGCCCCTTTATTTATTTATTTTCCCCCCATTAAGTTTATTGGTACATTTTAGGTATAAAATACATTTACATACATCATTGGGATCTTGTACCATTGCATGAGTATCTTGGCTCTTTTTTTTTTTCCATTTCCCCTACCCTCCCTTCATCCCCTCCACCCTTCCCTATTTGCAAAGATTTTGTTTCCATTTTTTTCTTTTCTCATATTTTTCCCCCTTCTTTCCTTTCCCCTACCTCTCCCACTTACCCTGCTCCTTTAGACCTTTACTTCCTATTGCACAATATCAATTATACATTTTTAAAATTAAAATATCAAGA